TTTAATAAATTATTAAATACCTTTTAATTCTGTGAACAGTTTTGTAAATCCATGAACATTTTTTATCTGTAAACAATTAAGAAAAAAATGCTAAAAATACTTAAAAATTTAAGAAAAATACAGAAAAACCTAAATAGGCAAAGTGTCATATGGGTGATCTATGTGCCGCAATGTGTGGGAGATGTGTTGTGTCGTGTCGGCCCGCAAATAAAAGGGTTGTGACAGGCCCGGCCTTAAGGCCTGGCTTAGGGGATCAACCTTGTTCCATGGCGTGCCGAAGGCCAGCCTCGCCCTATTATTCTCGTGTCGTGCCAGGCACGTGTCGGGTCAAAAGTCTGTGCCCATGGGTCGGGCGACGAGGTGGCCCCATATGGTCAAGTTTGGGCAGGATATGTCTAGTCCAACACACCTCTAGCACCTCTTCTACCTTTGTCGGCCCCATTGGAGATGGTTATTTGGTGCCTCTCTCACACATGTGTGATCTCATGGTGGGGATGTGGTTGTGACCATGAGCCTTGGGTGCTTTTTAGCTATTGTCTTGTGACACCATGCCTACGTGTCATTTCAGATTAGTTGGTATCACTGAGGCTCGTGGGCAGTGGTGGAGCCAACATTTCATATGTGGGAGTACATAGTTCCAATTATTTTTGAAGTCGCCAATTTTTTAAATAAAAAATAGCAAATAGCATCCGTGGTAAGATAGTATGCAAAAGACAACATCTAACAAGTCACAATACATATGGGGCAACTAGCTAGCTCTGGAGTTGTGGCCATTTTTTTAGAAACCTCTGGAGTTGTAGCCGAACTGGTATCTAATGGGCCATTCAATTCGGGATTTGCAGCCCTAGCTAACGGGGTTTTGTATATTTGGGCTACCTGCTTACTTATATGGCTTCGGGCCTAAGAGAGGTGGAGAGAAGTAGTGTGGATAGCTGGGGTAAACAAAATTGTGCTAAAAAAGGCTCGACCGGACAAAAAACAAACACGTATGAATTACTGGTG